GGATTCACCCAGGCTTCAGACTGCAGAGGCTCAGGGCCCAGCTCGGACCAGCTCGGCACTGTCCTCCACTCCCATCCCAGAGACAGGAATTAGACAGAGGCAGCCCCATCTCAGGGCACCCCACCCTTCTCCAAATGCCTCACTTAGGAGTCCATCAAGAGCAAGTTTAGTCCTGATCTTTTGGTCCCACAGAAACACGTAGGCTGATGTGACAGAATGGGGAGATGGACCCCTTAAGAACTCAGTGGAGCACAGGCTCGAACTGACACTGGCTGTGTGTAGACACCCACACACTGGAAAGGACACACCAAATACAACATGGTGCTTTGATGAAAGCAAGGGCAGAAAACACATACAGGAAGAATGACAGCGTCTCAGCCAAGTGACACTTCTGGAGAAACCAGACAGAATGGTCTGCCACCTCTCTCCTGCAGACTGGAGAAGCTAATTTCCTTCCCTATCTGCCTAAGAAATGGCGGCAGCTATCAAAACTGGGTTTTGTAATGTCCGAATTCTCCAGGAATCTAGAAGGAGGACACAAATCTATAATCAGCTTGTGGCTTACTCATTTGCATTTTAAAATAAAACCCAGGCCTCTCATGCTAACAGCTTTCTCTTTCTCCCTGATCTTTGAAAATAACTGGGGAAGGCAGCATAGGACATATTAGGGTGGGACTAGACTTGAAGTACTTTCCTAAGTACCCCACTAGAAATGGATAGGACAATGAGCATGCTATTTTTGGGGTCTTCCTCCACCTCATGCAGGGGCTCTCTGGGAAGGGGAAGGACAGCCTTGGGTAGGACATCTCTCCTGACCTTTCCCATAGGTCAGACCAGAGTGAAGCAGGCCTTCTGCCTGGTGCATGGACTTCGTCTCCAACAAGGACTTGCTGGGTGGAGGGCAGGACTGTGCTGGGCACAGCACTCCATTTCAACCTTGAGCTGTATCAGAAGCTGAAAGCCTGGGGAGTAGGTTGCACTTGCAATGGACCTGTGGCCTTGGACTGTGACTCTTGGGCTGGTCCTGTCATGTAAGGCTCATTACCACCAACCCAGCTCCTCCCCTGAGGAGGCTTCTGGACTGACCAGATAGAGACAGAGCCCTCCATTCCTTCATGCTGTTGCCCTTGCCCAGTGGGACCACTGGCAGTCTACTGCAGATGCCACAGGCAGACAGAAGCATCTGAATAAGTCCAAAATCTGCACCTGAAAGGAGGAGGCTGCTGTGCAGAGCCAAGTTGTCTTAAAACCCTGTTCATGCTCCCCTAGCCTCCAGCCAGGCCCAGCCCTGGACACAAAGCAGAACTTCTCTTGAGTGTCCTGGACTGAGCTCACCTGCAGACTCTCCCTCTTGAGCAACTCTGAGCTGATGGAAGCCAGTTGGTCCATAGACAAGTTCCCTGCCAAGGAAATCTGGGAGGGCTTCTCTGGGTCTCAAGGGATATGCAGGCTTGGCCCAGCCCCAGAGGGGCTCTTGACAGCCTGAGAGCCAGGCCCACTGCTGTCCTTCTCCAAGGAGGTACCCAGTTCTGAGATGTAAACAACCTTCAAACCAATGCTCAAAATAAATGTTTAAAACTGTGTGCCCATGTGCACATTTTCAAGTTGACATCTAAAATTTCTCATCCTAAGTTTAAATACTTGCAGAGGATGTAATTTCTAACATATTATAAATATTAACATTTTAAAATAAAACTGTTACTGTTTCTCTTTTAAATGGGTCCAATGAAATCTAAATACCACAGTGACCTGAAATCCACCATTATCCATTTTAAGCTTATCTAATCAGGCTCTCCTTTTGACAACTGGAAACTGAACAATGTTCTTCTTTCTTCCTTGGACTCTTAATTTCCAATGAACTTCCCTCAGAGATGCTTGTACTATCGTAGAGTATTTTATAGAATATATTATGTAAGAAAGTCTTAACTGATTATTCTACTATACCACAAAGAAATTCATGTATATGAATGTTGGGAGTACTGAAGTTTGAACCTTGGCCTCGTACCTGCTGGGCAGGCACTCAACACTTTAACTATGCCCCCAGCCTTTTTTTGCTTTTATTGTTTTTCAAGTGAGATCTTACTTTTTCAAAAACCTGGGTCAGCCTGAACAATAATTCTATTTATAATTCCTGCATGGCTATGTCCAGCTTTTTTTGGCTGAGGTAGGATCTCAAACACTTTTTGTCAGCTAGGTACCAGTGGCTCACACCTATAATACTAGCTACTCAGGAGGCTGAGATCTGAGGATCGCAGATCAAAGCCAGCCTGGGCAGGAAAGTCCGTGATACTCTTATCTCCAGTAAATCACCAGAAAACCAGAAGTGGAGCTGTGGCTCAAGTGGTAGAGTGCTCGCCTTAAGCTGAAGAGCTGAGAGCAAAGTTCAAGCCGAGTTCAAAGCCCAGAGTTCAAGCCCCACGAGGGACAAAAAAAAAAACAAACCAGAACTATCTAACTTGTGGGTAGAAATGGGAGGGGAAGATTGGGAGAGAGCGAGACAGTGACATTGTCCAAAAAGAAATATACTCTTTACCTGATTTATGTAACTGTACCTCTGTATCTCACCTTTATAATAGCAATTTTTTAAAAAGGGAAAAAAAAAAAAAACCTTTTTGTCCAGGCTTGCCTCCAGCCCTGATCTCCAGCTCTCAAGTAGCTAGGATTAAAGGCATGAACAACTGCCCATCCACGTCTTTTTTCTTTTTTTGGTTGTGAGGCTTGAACACTCAGCACCTGGATGCTGTCCTTGAGCCTTTTATGTGATACCAGTTCACAATTTGATTGGGTCCTCTTTCAGTTTTGTTCAGGAACAGGAATAGAGATACTTCCCTGGCCCAGGATTATATCAACCAGCCTTCTCCCCTCGTGATGGGCGGGCTCAGTGTTCTGGGTCCCACACTGAGTCTCCTCTGCCCAGAGTAGGTGAAAATGTGTGGCTCTTAGATCACCAGCTTCCCCATGTGCCAGGCCCAGTGCCAACCCTGTTACCCACATTTAATCATCATCATAATCCAGGGGTCAAGCAAGCATGACAATTATCCTATTGTGCCAATAGGGCACACTGAGGGGCCAAGTGCTTGGGCAATGGGCACCAAGTCATGCAGCCAGAACCTGAATTAAGGCAGCACTGCTGCTCTTTACCAGGCCCCACTGTGCCAAGGAGGTAGAAAGAAGCAGGGCAGGGCCCATAGGGAAGGAAAAGTTTACAAGCTCCATTCCCAGCATGCAGCTGTGGAGACATGAGGAAGTTGAAGGTCCCTAAATTTAAAATTTCTTAAACATGTTCCTATCCCCCACTCTCCTTGCTCCTCCCCCCCCCCAAAGCTTACACACAAATGTCTCCTGAAAGTAAGTTACAAGAACACTGCGGTTCCCATAAATGGTCAACACTGATACTGTCACAGTGTTGCCACTCAATTACTGGAAGGAAAAGTGACCTGGCCAAACAGGTCCCAGCATCCTCTTAGAAAGAAGCCAAAGGCTAAGCAGGAAAGCAACTAGTAATGCCATGAGGCCGGTGTAGCAGACCTCAACGCAACCCCCATTTCACCACCAGCCACTCACCTCAACTCAACTGATGCCATCCGGGACCTCAGCTTCCACATCTCTACAAGGAACACACCTCACCCTCCTCAGCGGGGAGCAGTGCAGGATAGGACAGGACCAGGTACCTGGCTCACCTTAGTCTCTCACTCACTTATCCAGTGACTGGCAAACTCACGCCTGGCTTCTAGGGGCCCACTGCCTAGGATCTGATGCACAGAAGCCTGGCTGATTCTGAAAATCCAGCCAAGTGATTTGGCTGCCAATTTTTGCAGTCTTTCTCAACATCTTAAAATTTTTAAGTGCTACCAGTACTCCTGGGTGCCAGAAGGAGGTGTCCATGGTGGCACTGCCATGGGTTTTATTTTTAGATGCTAGAGAGAGGAAAGCATCCAGTTTGGCTTTACACTGGTCCCTAGCCACCACTTCCTCCTCCAAGTCATCATCAAAATGAACATTCCCAACTCCAAAGACTTCTGAATGCTTCTACTGCCTGGCACACTCTGAAAACAATGGCATCAGTCTCCTGGTCCACCTACACACTGTGTATGAAAGACCCTTGGAGCACAGACAGCTTGGGCCTCTGCCAGCTCCCAGGTCTGGACCTGCCAGTTATGGGGAGGCCTGGGGTTAACAAAAGTAGATTCCCAGAGCTCCCAGCAGGCATTCCAAAAACTCACTACAGATGTCTGCCAGGGGGCCCAGCAACTCATCAGCCCTTACCGGCATCTAGAGATGCAGGCAATTTGGTTTGGAAGGTGAGAGGAAGGCAGGCCAGACCAGCACACAGACAGGAAGGCCCACTGGACAGGGACAGCAGGGGTGACAGACCACAGGGTTCACTAAGTACTCATGAGGTATACATCACAGCCTGCTTTTGCTACAGGTCTGAGTATTTTCTCTATCTATGAGAAGAAAAATATTTTCCTGTCCCTCATGAGTCAAAACCAAGGACAAAATGTTGGTAGCCAGACCGCCAGGCAAGCGTTCAGGCTCCTCTGCAGATTGACCTCCTGGCTTTCCTGAGATGGCTGCTGTCAGAGCCCATCAATCTATCTCAGAATCAGAGGCCCAGCCCCATACCTAGGAGCACTGCTCCATATTCCTACCCACTTGTTCCTCCCTCCCTCCCTCCTCCCGCTCTCCTTCAACCATCCTTTCTCTAGTCAATCAGCACTTGACCAAAGTCCACCCAGGATTGAGGGAGCACAGGAAACAGAACCACAGACACCAGGCTGAGTAGCTACAGTCCCTTCACCTTCCCAGCCCCCACCCAAGACTTCCAACTTCCCCTTCCCAGTTCCTTCTCCCAAGAGTCAAAGCCACAGCCAGGTAACTCTCCATACAGCATCCACCAGGGGTGGAAACTGGGGGGGCGGGAGGGCGGGTAGAAAGGGGAGAAGGCACTGAGTCACTCTACTAATAAATGGCAAAGAGAGGAAGTGGTCTCTACTCACCTGCACCACCTCTATCCCTCGTTTCCTGTGGAGAAAAACACACAAAAAAAACAAGCATTACTCAAGCAGGTAGGAAGCAGTCTTTCCAGAACATTTACTACAATCAGCTGTGACAGGACCATGCCAGAGCTGCGTGAGGAGAACCAGCTGAAGGCGTGCCTCTCACGTCACTGTCCCCAGAAGGGTCTCCTTTCAGGTTTAAGAAGGCCCACTGTGGGAAGTGGCTGACCAGCCTTTCCCTCAACCCCAGATACCACCGTGGAACCCTGTGTCCCAACCCCCCTCATGGCCTAGAAGAGACTGTAAAAGTAACTTGCAAGAGTGCTGTAGGACTGACAACCATTGTCCCCCAAGCCCTGAGTGAGGCCCTCACAGCTGAACTCCAGCCTGGCCTGCCCAATAGACTGCTGACCACTGAACTCAGCCTGACGCCTAGGACCTGCTCACCTCAACTACTGCTACAGTGCCCAAGCCCTGGGCCTCAGGCCCCTACATCTCGGCCTGCCAGACACACAGGGCTGTCTTGTCCCTTGCCTGCATGCCTTCTCATCGCCAGCCCTCAGGCTTCAGCCCAGGTGGGCCTCTTTGGGGAAGACACACATACCCCTAAGAACACACACACACACACACACACACACACACACACACACACACACACACACACACACACACACACACACACACACACACACACACACACACACACACACACACACCCTAAGAACATGGGCTCACTGTCCAGACAGACAGACACACATACCCCTAAGAACACACACACACACACACACACACACACACACACACACACACACACACACACACACACACACACACTAAGAACATGGGCTCACTGTCCAGACAGACAGACACACACACACAAACACCTACCTAAGAACATGGGCTCACTGTCCAGCCACACACACACACACACACACACACACACACACCTAAGAACATGGGCTCACTGTCCAGCCACACACACACACACACACACCTAAGAACATGGGCTCACTGTCCAGCCCTTTGTCATGTCGTTTGGACACAGCTGGACAGGGTGGCCAGGATCCAGAGATAGCACACTGTGCACCTCTGACATGCTCAGAGAAAGCGGGGATCAGGCAAGGTTAGAGCCTGTGGTTTACTCACCCCAGCTACTTGAAGCAAGCTTATCAAGTGTGCACTCTGACACCCACCAGCAGGCACACCAATTCTCATACATGGCTGCTGGGAAATGGAGACACAAACACAGAGAAGATTCGCCGGACCCAGGGGCACTCAGAAAGCACAACAAACACAGCAGCCAGTCTGGGCCTTCTCGGGGCTGGAGGCATCAGGGAGGAGATGGACACAGGAAAATGCCTGGGCAGCCAGGGGCAGGCCCCTCACATGACCATGAAGCCGAGGGCACATTCACCTTTCTTATATGTTTACAGCTACCTCAGCAAGGGCTTCTGACACTGGCACTCAGTGGACCTTCACAAAGGCTGCCCACAGGAGCTGGCAGGGTCCACTGTGGAAAGCACCCAGCCGGTCTTCTCCCAAGCCACATCTGAGCCCTGCAATGAGGAGCCCAGTGCAATGGCGGGCGCAATCACGTCCTGACAGGCGGTTCCTGAAGGAATGGCAGCCACTATCCATCTGCAATCATGATGGCAGAGGGGCAGGTCACCAGAGCCCACCGCAAGGGGACAGGTGGCATCAATAGGAACCTGCAGCATGCCTGAGCACCTGTGGACACCTCAGGGCCCACCTCATTCTGCAGCCAGAGTGGAAGAGGGAACTTGCTGCCCCAGCTCACAGAGCAAGTGACTGTGAGTGGTCAGCCTGGGACTCCCTGCCCAGCTGGCTCTGGGGTAGAAGTTTAAACCCAAAGGGCGGAATGTACTCCACTCCTACAGTGGGAGGGCAGGACACAGAAGGGTGGGTGTGTGATTCACACCATTTAGAGCCAGTTTCCCCAGGGTTCTAGGTCACGTTTTCCTGCTGGGAAAATCCTGCCCAAATCCACATTATCCTAGCCCATGGTTCTCATTATCAAGCCAACTTTCAATTATCAAGTCACTTTCAATCGGACCACATTTTACCTCATCCAAGTTCTATAGAAGAAAGAGAAGGAATAATCCCCACCAGGTCTCTGACATTGAAAACAGATGTAAGATGTAAAATAAGAAAGTAACAACAACAACAACAAACTCATCTAGAGAAAGGGTGGCCGACATCTTAGGAGAAGCTGAGCCCCAGAGCTTAGGAGCAGAATAAAGTACAACTAGCAGGAAAGGGGGCTCAGTAGCCCTTCGCTGCTTTCTGACTCCTCCAGTACTAGGGGTGAGGTAGAGGGATGAGTTCACCACTATTCAGATGATCAAGCAGAGGCTTGGGGAACTTGGGAAGCCAGGAGCTGACCCTGAAGCCCACCCACTCCGTGTCCACAGCCAGGTGCAGCACAGCTGGCCCCCAGATGGACAAGCTCCATCTCTGGCCTTTAGGGCCTCGGTATAAGAAGGGAGAGCAGGGCAGGGGGCCGTGGCAAAGCACATCCCCTCCAGCGATGGAATCCTGGGCATACCACTGCCACCTCAGGCTCACTTCCTGGCTCACTAGGACCTTCTGCAGAACAACAGTACTAGCGACCTGGCAGTCTCAAAGCCCGGCTCTCAAAATCCTGCCGTAAGTACAAAGGTCAGAAAGAAAATCATGAATCCAAAGTGGACAGAGAAAGCAGAGAGCTAGTTGTTAAGTGACTGACTAGCTGTCCCCCGGGGAAACCTCAACTCCACCCCCGCCCCTTTCCCCTACCTCCCATCATCATGTAGACACACTCAAACGTGCAAGACCTCAGGCCCTAGGGTGTCAGCCGCCACTGCTTGTGGTTGCGAAAGACTGGGAAGAAACAACATGTTCCCAAGAGGCATCATTTACAAACCGTATGTCATCAAAGGCACAGTATGAAGTAGAAAAATGAAAGAATGAGGAAGCTCTCCACAGGCCCATGAGGCCGTCTCCAAGGCACTGCCCAGAGAAATCTCAAGGTGCCGATTCTGGTATGCTGTATATGACGACACTGTGTGGAGGACAGCAATGCAGGATACAGGTGTGTTTATACATTGGATGGATGTGATGTGCTACAAGAAAATGACCACAGTGCGACCTTGGGTCAAGGGCAAGAGCTGCTAAGGGGAGAAGACTTCCCTCTCACTGTGTCTTTGAATTCTGTGCTATGTTACAAAACATTCTCAAAAACTAGAAAAACATACTTCTAATTGTGTTTTAAACACTCGCTAACACTCTCATTACCAGCTTTTCCAATGCCCAACAGAAAACGAATGCTTGATAAAAGCAAGGTTCAGTCAACTGATGGATGAAGCAAAAAAGAAAGCTCAGGGTTTATTAAGAAAACCTTCCACTGGGCACCAGTGGCTCATGTCTGTAATCCTAGCTACTCAGGAGACTGAGATCTGAGGATTGCAGTTCCAAGCCAGCCTGGACAGGAAGATCATTGAGTCTATTATCTCCAATTAACCACCAGAAAATTGGAAGTTGCACTGTAGGTCAAGTGGTAAAGCACCTGCCTTGAGCTAAAGAGCTGAGGGACAAATCCCAAGCCCAGAGTTCAAGCCCCATGACCAACAACAACAACAAATAAAAAACACCTTCCATAGCCTGGTATGGGAATGCACAACTGTAATCTTGGCACTCAGTAGGCTGAGACAAGAGGATCCTGAGCATGAAGCCTGCCTAGTCTACGTAATGAAACACTGTCTCAAGAAGAAGAGAGAAGCAGGCAGGCAGGCAGGTAGGTCAGCTTCCAAGCTGAGCTCAAAAAGAAACTGAAGAAATACCCACGGTGGGTCCAGGACTATCATGATGGATGTGCAGCAGAGACCCTGGGCCCCTGTAAACACCCTGGTCTCTAGGAAGCAGACCAGAAGGAACAGGCTGAAGTGTTAACTGTGGATACAGGGCTGCTGACAGCAGAAAAGGAGAGTATGAAGTATTTTACATGATAGATAAGACAGGTATAGATAGATGGATAGGTATTGATACAGATAAATATAGCTATAGACATCCTCCATCAGAAAAACTAACACTAAAAGTTAGTTTTGAGCTGGGAATGCGGCTTAGTGGTAAAGTGCTTGCCTAATATGCATGAAGCCCTGGGTTCGATTCCTCAGTACCATATAATCAGAAAAAGCCAAAAGAGGTGCTGTGGCTCAAGTGGTAGAGTGCTAGCCTCAAGCAAAAAGCAGCTCAGGGTTTGGGACAGTGCCCAAACCCTGAGTTCAAGCTCCCGGACTGGCAAAAGAAAAAAGTTAAAGTTTAGTCAGGCATCAATAGCTTACACCTGTAATCCTAGCTACTCAGGAGGCTGTAATTTGAGGATTGTGGTTCAAAGCCAGCTTAGGCAGGAAAGTCCTTGAGAATCTTCAATAAACTACCAAAAAAGCTTGAAGGAAAGCTGTGGCTCAAGTGGCAAAGAGCTATCCTTGAGCAAAAGAAGCCAAGGCCCTGAGTTAAGGTCCCAGAACTGGCAAAGAAAAAGTTAAAGTTTAGTAAGTAAAGGTTAAGTAAGTAAAAATCTGTGCCAAGAGACAACTTGCATTGGCTCTAAAACTCATTTTCTTTTGTTGTTGGTGGTGGTGGTGGTTATGGGGCTTGAACTCAGGGCCTGGATGGTGTCCCTAAGCTTTTTCCACTCAAGGCTACTGCTCTACCACTTTTGAGTCATAGTGCCACTTCCAGTTTTCTAGTGATTAATTGGAGTCTCACAGACTTTCCTGCCCAGGCTGGCTTCAAGTCACAATCCTCAGATCTCAGTCTCCTGAGAAGCTAGGGTTATAGACGTGAGCCACTGGAGCCCAACAATGTTCATATTCTTAATGAACACTCAATCAGTAAATCCTACCCCACACTCATAAACTTGGCGTTCCAAAGCCATCACCAATGATGGAAGAACCTCTCTCTCCTCTAGAAGTCCAAGGAGAGAGCGCCTAGGGGATAGAGAATGTCACAAGGTGACTGCTCTCT